AAAGAGAGGGGTGGGAGGTGTTTCTACTCTCTTGCTAGACATTTTCAGTGTGTCCTAAACTATTGCTCTACCAACTTCCCTGCAGATAGCTTCCTCTTTGGAGTCTTTCTATATTTCTAGCTTTTTTTTTTTTTTTTCTTTCTCCTCCCCTCCTTGACTTCTGAACCAAGTTGTGTAAACTTTGCTATCCTTTGGAGCAGTGTTTTCTGCATTTGGAATGAGTCAGTTTGGAGTTCCCATATGTTTGTCTTGGTATGGTTACTGTCCCATCCATGACAGCTCTCTGGTGGTGGTGGTGGCTGCTGCTGCGCTCCTTCTCAAGCTTCATTCAGAGCTTGAAGGCTGTTCCGAGTTCACTGCCAACCTTGTTCCTCCTCTACTTGGCTTTCTGTGCCGCTGTCTAGTGTGCTCTTGTAGAAGGATTTTCCTTCAAAGAAACGTCGCTCTTGATCACTTGTATTGGTCTGTGATCAGACCGTTTCTTTCCTCTGTCCCTTTAGTTCTGATTTTCCCGTTTCAGTACCTGTTTTCTGTGCTGCACAGGTTTTTAAAGTGCACTATTTCTCCCCAGCTACACTAAATCCATGCAGTGGCTAGCTCATTAGCAGCAAACAATAGTACTTAGGCATAAAATACTCATACGTTCTTCTCTACCACTTCTATTTTGTTTTCACTGTTGCCTGTTGCACGTGAGTCTGTCTCTGCAGTTCGTCCCAGTCCTGGAGCCAAATGATCACCTTGGTAGTGGAGAAATCCTGAAGGACCAAGACTGTTCTGGGGCTGGCCCTGGGCATTGGGTGTCTGGCTGGTCACCAGTGTTGGCATTGCTCAGAGGACATTGTGCTTCCATGTCTGAAATGCTGCTCCCTCTTGTGTGCTTGGATCAGTCTGGAAGTACAAAGGAATTGACTTCTGTGCTTCAGGACTTGGACTGACAGCTTAGCGCTGCTGGAATGAGGAGATCATGCTTTTCTGCGAGATCCTCTGTCATCTCTGCTTGTCTGATCACAAAGTAAGCTGATTCGAGCTCTTGCTTCTTGATGAGTCAGAAATAGAGAGCTAAATAGGCTCTCTGTGATCAGACAGACTCCTGAGCTGGCTTTAAGAAGCAGCAGGAAAACATGACCAGCATTGAGGGGAGGGTATGAGAGCTGTTTTGACTTAAGCTTTCTCTTGAAACCCTCAGCAATAATATATTAAATTCCTTCTTTCAGCTCCCAAAGTCCTGGTGCTTTGCTTATTTCTCAGCCAGAGGTCCTTGTGAGCTGTACACCTGTGCTGGATATCGCGTGGAACCTGCTTGGCTCTCTGTTGTAGCCAATTCCTGCTTCTGACACAAGGTGTCAGTGAAGGACTTGGAGCTGCTTGCCTCTGCTTCAGTGGTATGAGCATGGATCTGTTCCTGAGTGGATTCTGTCTTGGATAACCAAACTTATAAGCCACCCATATTTCTCCTGCCAAAAGGATGGTGAGCCTTCTCCAGCTCCTCAAAGCCGTGGTAGCTTGTTGGAGGTCTGGTGTCATCTCTGGAGAATAAAAAGCTGTTGATACAGTTGGGCAGTGGTGCTGCTTTTAAGAAGCTGTGTTCAGTCTGGGACTAGAATGTAGGTTATCGGCAGGCTTTACTGTTGGTCTGCAATGCTCCGTACTGCAAAAAGTTTGTGGAGCCTGGGAAGTGCACAGAAGCATCTTCAGAAACGGGAATTTCTTTACCTTCAAGTCAGAGTTCATGAGCCTCCTATTGCTAATGTTCCTCTTGCTTCCACAGGAGCAGTGCAGGAGACTGATTTTTTTTTTTTTTTTTTTTTTTTTTCTCTCCTGCCCTGCCAATGTGATAAAGGTGATTAGTATGGTGAAATCCAGCAGCAGGACACATCACCTTCTAGCTGGGTAATGAAGCTGTGAAATGGCCAGCTGAGAAGAGGCAGGTAGTTGGCTCAAGCTTGTTAGTCTGGGCCTCTGTTGGGAGGGGCTTTCTATAGGCTGTGTGTTTCCGTCACCACCTCTCTGTGTGTGCTAGTGCTTATGTCTGTGCAATCAGCTCAGCTGGGGACTTGGCATGCCTTATGGAAACAGTGGTGTGCACGTGGAGGGATGGGATCTGCTCTGTCTTTGGCTTAAGCTGTGTGTGGAACTAGTTTCGTGCCCTTGTAGAGGTCTGTGATGTTTTGTTTGTGCATCTCAGCCTGCAGGTTATCGGTGTGCTGTGGACTTGTCCCGTGAAAGCTCTTGGTTTTTCAGTCCTTGTAACCCCAAAGTAGTGGTGATGTGTTGCATCAGCTTGGGGAAGAGCAGAGTAACCATCTGAGCCCCAAAGATGTATTTGGGAGGTGAAGAGTGGCTAGGAGAAGCACATACATGTGATTCATTTAGAAAGGAAGTATTTCCAAGACTACAGTTCTCTTTCATCTCTTCAGTTTGGTGCACAGACCTCCATTTCTAGGACACATGCAAATCAACAGTGAAATAGGAGAGCTTGAAGCAAGTAGGTCACACTTGTCCTAGACTCTGGCTCCACGTCAGCTGGAGGGCACGGTGGTCTACCTGAATGGTACCCTCACACATGCCGGAGCCTTGTTTTCTGTCAAATTAATCCGTAGCAATACATAGTGAGCACCAAACTCGATACAGGGCTGGATGGTGTGGAATAAACCACAACTGGACAGGTTGGTTGGTTATTTTTGAGTCTTGAAGAGTATTTCCAGGGTTGCTCTGTATAGCCCTTTCTGCCCAGAAGAGAAGTGCTGCTTTCAATCAACTCGGGAGCGGACTGCTAAAGGTTTGGTGTCCTAAGTGCCTCTTCATTTTAAAGACATCCACTTCTCTCCCACTCTCTCCTCTTCCCTCTTTCTCCGCGCAGAGGAGAGGTGATGAAAATACATTGAAGCGTACTGAGCAGGTGGTTGAGCCACTGTGGGGTGAAGTGTGTCTGTCTTCCCGTTGTCTGACCACAGGATGGCTAGACGCACCGAAGCAAAGGCCTGCCTGCGCAGAGCAGTGGGCTTTTGCCTCCAACAAATGGATGTTGGGGAGTGTGTCCTCTATGCGCCAGGCTTCACTGAGTGCAATGTGTGCTTTTGTTTTCATAGTCCCAAGGATCTTTTTTCCTCCCCTAGAGGCTGCCTTTGCTTTATGGTGTTATGTACTGAGTGTTCGCCATATCTCCTTTTGCTGAGAGAAGAGCGGGAGAGGCTGTGCTACCCTTCTCTCTTCCATTTTTTCACTGTGGTCCTGGAATTTGAGCCCCAAAAGGCTGGAGCTGGGCTTCTCTTTCAGCTTAACCGTGTGGGCAGTGTGTCCTCTCTTGTTTAGACAAGTTGCAT